AAAATGATCATAACACAATACTATCTTTCACATTCAACTATACCACATGTTCTTTTCAAAAGAAAAACGGTTTTAGTCCTTGTATTATTTAATGATGCATATTTAACCTAGTGTTGGTGATTCTAAATGCTTGAAGAATTATGTATATAAAGTCTGCAATACGAAAATTTTATGCAATTTTCCATCCTAGTATGACGTACTTATTTTCAAGCATGTTTAACGTAGGAGTTTTATTCAGAATTCATAATAAAAAGAAAATAATATATTTATTTATTTATTTTTATTTTCTTACCTCCATCCTGGAATGTATATTGAACGTGCCATCTTTGAAATTAATTCGATTTGTTCTTTTTGAAGTTCAAAAATCTTTTTTCCTTCTTCATAATTACTGCCAAAAGCAGTTCTTGAAATTGCATCACTTGTCAATGTTTGAAGATATGGCCACACATCTATCTCTGTTCCGTCTTTTGAGACAACTTCCTTCCATGTGTTCAACATTTCGTTGATAGTTAATTTGAACGCAGGTAGCATATGCTGCACATTAATAAGAATTATGACAAACTTAATGTTTATATATATTTAATAAATCTACTAACACACTTCGGTCGTTAGAATCAAATTACGACAAACAAATTGAAACAAAAAGAGTATAACAAAAGTTTCAAAGTGGCTAAAACCTTCAACTTGTCAAGGTGAAAAGCTGGATTGAGAATCCTTCTATGTGTGGCCCATTTATCTTTTTCATGGGCCGCAAGCCCAGATATTACCAACTTAGATAATGGGCTGCCTCGTGCCTTTTGATAAACATAATTCTTTGTTAACACCTCCCTTATCAATTTGGGCTCTGTGATGAGGACTGCTGGTTTGGGCCCAATCCACACAAAACAATTCTTACCTACAAAATCGAAGTGAAACGGAAAATTACGCGATGTAACAAACTTAAGTTTATTTATAATTTTTATATGTATATGTGTTGTATGACGATCACTATACGTATGTATGCTTGTATGTATATGTATCTATGACGGTACGACAAAATGTATGTATACATGTACGATTGTATGTATGTATGATATGTTTTGAAAAGAAATGTTATACAATTATACAATTACTAAGTAATTTTTTGTATGAAACACATGGATTGATAACCACACAATTTCTATCTTATCACATCAGTACAATATAAGAGCTTTTAAGTCATATAAAATGTGTAATTTACACAATAAACTCATCTAAAAAGATTATTTACTATCGTAGATACATGTGATCTGATGATATAAAAGTGTATACATCAACGATATTAGTAAAAACTTCTACATTTATCTGATCAGCTAAAAGATAACAAATAGTAAATACGTAAAAGAGGATCATATTTTCCCATTTACTTACCATAATTTGTGATGGTTTTGTGGATGAAGGGGTTGATTCTAGGCCAAATCAAGTCATGTGAGAGATTGATGGGCTTGGATGTAGCTTCTTCAATCATCTTCTTCATCTCTTTCATATCCCCATACAACAACTTGTATGAATTTCCTTTGAGACCTTGTTGTCTTAGTTGTTTCTCCAACTTTTTTGGTTTGAACCAAACATGATTCAAGATTCTCCATGTCCATCTCAATACAAAGATAATTGCAAATGAAAATATTGCAATTTTTAAGTTGTAATATGATATTTCCATTTTGTTTTCTATATTGATAATACCAAGTTTCAATGATCTTTATTATGATATTGGTCCCATATATATACATACTAACTACTACTATATGTAATGAGAAGAAAGTGATGTTTTAAATTAATAAATTAAAAGTCATAAGGGGTTGTTACTTGTTTGGTTAATGGAAGAAGGTAATATATCAGATACATTAAGTTTGAGATAAATTTATATCTTTAATTTAATTTTATAATGTATTTATTTCATTCAATTTGATATTATTTTATCTCATCTTCTACGTATTTAAATTAATTATTAAATTATAATTTCAAAATAACTTAATTCGTAAATCAAGATAGTGACCGTAGAATTTATTGCACACGTTTTTTTAAAATTCAAAAAAACCCATAGAATTTATTGCACGTCATGCTCTCTATCAATCTCTTTCTTTCTCTCTGTGTATAGACTATTTAATTTGGACTTGTCTACTCTTATTAAATTAAGAGTAATATTCCCTTTTAGAAAGAAAAAAAAAAGGTCTTTTACTATATATTGATGTAGATATTTGAAGCAAAAGCAATATAAATAAAATACAACAATGTCATAGAATTTGAACCTTGACTTAAAGTTGAACCTTTTAACTTAATTTGAACCTTGAATTAAAATAATATGAACCTTAAATTAAATTGAGCCTCGGAAGAAGATTAGTCTTTATTGAACCTTAGATTAATTTAAATTAAGATAGTACTTTCTTCCGTTCATTTTTACTTGTTATATTTTTATTTGGCATACTTATCAAAATAATAATAAATGATATAGGTATTGTTGAATCCATCCCATTTTTTTGTCAACTTTAGCCATTCAGTTGCTACAAACAATTGTTAAAAAGGAATAGTAATTGGAGTTGAAAATAAAATATTTGGTGATTGACAAATTGATAAGATTTGCAACAATTTTTGACTTTACTTATATTTAACTATGTCATTAGTGACACAAATATGGCTTTATTCTTCTATGAATAGAACATTCTTGGTCATTTGTAGAACTCACCAAATTAGAGATAAAAATCGTTTTGAGAGCATAGTGCGATATTCCATAGACTATACAAGAAAAATAGTCTGTGAAGAAAAATAGAGTGTGAGCGATATATTAGTAAGGTGAAAACCAAAAAAAGTGTTGTTCCTTTTGAGTGTGTAGTAGTCACTTTGATTATTGTATTCGTGATTACACGGTATAAAATTTCTTACTATAGTGATATCAGTTACTCCTCTTGGCCCGTGATTTTCCCCTTATTTAGAAGGGTTTCCACGTAAAATTCTTGGTGTCATTATTTTTCCATTTTATTTCCATTACTTTTACCATATATATTATTGTGTTTATTCGCGTTTTCCCAACAGGTATTTTATCAAACTCTCTATTAAATGATATCTTGAAAAAATGATTTGAAAAATAACTATTTAATATTGAGAGTAAAACATGAAAAAAAAAGTTATTATTTTTTTTTATACGTCAAAGGTGATAAATAAAATGTTATTTTAGTTATGTGACCTTTTCTAAAGCAGATCAACAAAAAAAAATGCATGAGATCTTCATCATGACATTTTCTTTTGTTCAAATTTTAAGTAAATATAGAAGATCATTTCTTCGATAACATTTCTTCAATTCAACTTCAGATTACTTAATTTCTTGAATTAATCATATAGATTTGTACCAACAAAAACAAATAGAAGGATGAAACAAATCTTTAGACTTTAATGCAAGTAGGAACATTGATATTAGAAATCAACAAAAGAATAAGGATGTTGTGCAAAAGGTCACATTTTAGTTTATAATTTTTCAATATATATATATCGTTAGGAGCTCATTTATAATCATACATTACAGAGAGAGTGTTATTTTGTTCTGTTAAATCCGCCTAAAGATACTCTTAACATAATATTTAACTATTTGGATCTCTTATATATTGTCATGATGGAACTAATTACTAGTGATATTTTTCTTTTAATAGGTGAATATGATCTTAAATGAAATTTTAAAGTTGTATCCATCAGGATATTTTATAAATAGAGTGGTGACCAAAGACACAAAGCTTGGGGATTTGTGTTTACCCTCTGGGATGCATTTTTTGTTGGGAACAATTTTGTTGCATAATGATATTGAAATATGGGAAGATGATGCAATGGATTTTCAATCCTGAGAGATTTAGTGATGGAGTAGGAAAAAAAAACAAAAGGACAACCTGTGTTTTTCCCATTTAGTTAGGTCCAATAGGGGCGGACCTAGAGGTTGCCGAGGGCGTTCATCCGAGCCCTCTCGACAAAAAATTGTGTTATATATTTAAGGTATTTTTTAAAAAAATTATGTCAATATATTGATTTTGAACCTCTTCAATGTAAGATTAATTTTCTAAACTCCCCTAGAGGTTACAAGTTTGAATCTTAGGCACTACTCTTTTTTTCTCGAACCCCCTAAATAGAAATTCTGGATCCGTTACTCGGTCCAAGAATATGTATTAGCCAAAACTTTGCTATGTTAGAGGCAAAAATGAAAATAGCCATGACTCTCAAACACCATGCATTTGAACTTTCCACATCTTATGCTCATGCTCCTGATCCACTATTGCTTTAACCTCTATATGGTGCTCATTTAATTTTATACAAGTAGGAAAAATGATCATTAAGAAGTTATTAGTATTAGATTTATATCATTGCAATCATAAACTATATATGAGTGAACATGTTTTTCTTGTAATAGAGATCATTATACACTTCAATCAATATAATTATATATGTTGTGTGGTTTAGAATGCAACGTGCTTGGAAATTTTCAAAATATTATGTATCTTAACCAATAATTAAGATTTTCCTATCATATATTGAGATAGATACATATTTTTTCCCCATTGAATATATTAAAATAGGGTGAGAGACAAGCGAGATGGGAGGGAGGCGAGCGAGAGTTTGTTATGTATCCCAGAAACATGTAAATCACGATAGGTAAACAATATTTACATGTATATTTATGTATTTGATGTGATTCACATGTATCTGAGATACCAGATAACGTAAGGGAGTGACGAATGAGATGGTAAAGAGGCGAGGACAGCAAGTGAGATTTGTTATATATCCCGGATACGTGCAAATCCATTTGAATACAGTGTATTAAGATAAATGTATCTGGACATATGTGAACACATTCGTGAAAGTCACAAGGAATTAATTCAATGCCTAAAAAGGTTAAACAAGCTCTAAATCTCACAAAATCAACCAAGACCTCAACTAACCCTAAAATCATCCCCCGAACCCAAGAACTCTTGAAATTTCGATCCGAGCAGTCGGACCCCGAATATTGACAGAGTCAATTCAAAGGCCAATTTTATAAAAATTCATTACTTAGGACCTCAAATCATAAAAAAGACTCCAAATCTGAAACCGACAACTTTTGCAGGTCAAATTTCATATTTCGAAAGTGATGGAATCAATGAATTCCATTTCGACACTTGAAACTCCAAAAGACACCGAAAATCATTTTAATTTTTAACAACTTATCCTTTCAAGCTCAAAAATTAGCAAATTCTCAACTTATAACTCAAAGTTCAAAACTCAACCAAAAACCTCTCAGGGTCGATATCAAAAGGGGGAAAACGGTACATCCATGAAACTTTCCAGAAATAACCGATCAAGTTATTACAAAAAGAATGGAAAAGGAAAATCATCATAAACATAAAGTACACTAATATTATTATTATAAAATTCTCCAGTCTTATACAAAACAACATATGACTTCACTTGAACTATAATTAAAGAACAATAAAGGGATAATGCACAAGTACCCCCTCAACCTATGCCCGAAATTCCAGAGACACACTTATACTATACTAAGGTCCTATTACCCCCCTGAACTTATTTTATAAGTAATTTTCTACCCCTTTTTAGCCTACGTGGCACTAGTTTAAAAAAAAGTCAACAACCATTGGGCCCACAAGATAGTGCCACGTAGGTCTAAAAGGGGTAAAAAATTATTAATAAATAAGTTCAGGGGGTAATAAGATCTTAGTATGGTATAAGTGTATCTCTGAGATTTTGGACATAGGCTAAGGGGGTACTTGGACATTATCCCAACAATAAATAAAGGATATAACATGATTCAAAAGACAACACGTGATAACCACTTCTACAACTTGTGCATGATCAATTGAGCACCATATTGAGGTTGAAGCAACAATGGGTGAGGAGCATGAGCATAAGATGGAGAGAGTTCAAATGCATAATGTTTTAGAATCATGACCATTGCCATTTTTGCCTCTAACATAGCAAAATTTTGCCCAATACATATTCTTGGACCCCAACTAAATGGAAAAAATACAACTTGTCCTTTTGTTGCTTTTGATATTCCTTCACTAAATCTCTCTGGCATAAACTCCATTGCATCATCTCCCCATATTTCAGTATCATGATGCACTAACATTGTTGCCAATATGAGTTGGACCCCAGAGGGTAAACACAAATCCCCTAACTTTGTTTCTGTATTCACCATGCGATTAATCGCGTATACTGATGTATACAACCTTAAGACCTCGTTTAAGATCATTGTAACCTATAAAAATGATAGATCACAAGTTAATATAGCCATTAAATATATTGATTTTTGAAGATAAAAGTAGAATTTAGAACTTTATTACCATTTGATGATATTTAGATGAAGTTGAGTGACATTATGATTAAAAAACTAATTAAAAAACTTTTGGTGATATATGAAGTAAAGTTGAGTGACTTTTTTATTACAAAAAGTGGTTTTTTGACTTAGGTGCAAAAAAGTGAAAGTTGTCCGAAGAGTATGGCCTAATTCTCAATAAAGTGATATGAGTGAAAATTATGAAAGACTTGACTTCAAATTTCAATAGGAGACATAAATACTCTAAGATAAATATTGTTCTCCTCTACCTAATGGCCGGTGGAGTTTCCCGATATGTTTATATATAAAGTACCATTACTAAAAAAATTGCAAAAAGGAGATCTAAAAAAAGTGACCGCAAAAGTAGGTCTAAAAAAAATCATGAGGTCACTATTTGCATCAATAATTTTTTTTAACATGGAAAACCTCATGAGGTCGATTTCATAAAAAAAAAAATTTGCCTAATCAATAGTATACATGGTTG